CAACAACAACAACAACAACAACAACAACAACAACAACAACAACAACAACAACACGAATTTAATTCAGATTGAGCAAGTACATATCATCGGGTATACTTTCGGCTGGCATGTTATTCTCAGAGGCAGCCCGTCTCCCACATTATCTAAATTGTGTCGATGTGGGCGTAGAACGATTGCACTCATTTGGGTCACGGTGGAAAGTCGGACTGGCCAACAGTCTCTTGCAATTGTTACTGTCAAAACGGGTTTTTCGTGGTCTTGAAGTTAAGGTGTTTGCCTCTCATGCAATAGGTTCCGGGTTCTCATCCGGACAGGCTTGGGAAATTTTTCTTTTCTAATATTATTTTCTCCTTTCACCCCCTTTCCTGCCCCCTGACCATATTGTGTCGTTTCTTTTGGTTTCCACTTTCCACTTTCTGCCCGCTCCCCCTTCCCCTCTCCCCTTTGCCCCCTCCTCTGGGCTCCTGACTCTTTCTGTAGCCTTTTTACTGCTACTCCTTGGACCCTTCTCACTGCTGTCTTTCATTCACACCCCTGATCTTATGGTAGGTAAGAACTAATGCATTGCCTTTTCTGATAACGGCGAAAAATCTCGGAGGTCCTGTGTGCATTTCGCTCACATTAAAGATCCCTTGGTGGTCCAAAATCTATTAGAGTAGGCTACGGCGCCACCCGAGCAAAATTATAATTAAACATTTCCTACCAACGGAAAATGTTTAATGTGTTCCGCGTACTCATATGACCTTATGCAGTTGCGAACATCGAAAAACACTTAGATCTACCAACTAAAAAAAAAAAGCAAAAAATCCTAAAAACTGGACCTGTAATTAAGATTTACAAGACTGGCCCAGAAGGAAATCAGTAGCCAACCAAACTTTGACGTCTGATTCTGATAAGAGATGAGTCAATCCCAGGCCGCTGACCTCTATCTATCACTTGGTCGCCTTCTGATTGGCGGTCGCTACAAGTTGGTTTGACAAAACTGATCACGCAACGAAACAAAAGAGCTTGATCTAAGACAAGTGGATAATTTGTTTTGGCAAAGTCTCATCAATGTAGAGAAATCCGACCAAAAAGACGTAGCCTCGAGGTGGATCAGGAAACTTGAAACGTTCACTTGGGTTAAATGTATCTCTTTGTTGACTTAAAGCCACATGTGATTTCCTTTTAACTACGTTACGTCCTGGTACACATAATTTAGCTAATTTTGGAGGCGGTCTGGTTCCACTTTGCAGGTCATGGCTGCAGAATCGAATTCACGCCTTTTGCGAGCAGGGGTGAAAGGCATTGCCTTTTTCATCAGGTCCAAATCAGCCCCTTCCCGATCAATTCTATTTATAGCATGCTAATCCGTATGCCGCTGCTATAACCAATGACTAACTATGTGGAGCTCGACAATCATGAAATATCCCAGAAGATTCCGAGAAGAAGAAGGGAAAGAAAGGGGGAGGGCGGTCGTGTTAACAACACTGTAGCCCCCCCCCCCCCCCC